GTGTGCCTATTTTCGAAAATATATACGAATGAAAAACGTCAGGCTATTTTTGAGTTATCTCATTTTCATTGAAATCCAACTTATATATCTAAACTTTCAGAATATAAAAGAATTTTTTGCCCAAAAATATAAAAGAAAATAATATTTTGAAACAAAAAAATAGTAGTGCATTAGACCCTCAATTTGTTAGTTGCCTTTAATATTATACTGAATTTATGTTATTGAACATGCTTTTCAATCTAAACAAACAATTTTAACTTAACGTATTCAAAGATTGACTTTTTTTTTAAATTTCGGTTTTAAATTAAATCTGTATTTATGAAACAACTGATAGTTATAAGATTAGTCTTGTTTTACATAATGATTATATCAAAACATAACTTCCAAATATTAAACATCAAATCTGTTAGACGCTTTTATTATATTATGCTAAATTTATATTAACTGAATATTTATACTTGAATGAGTTTGTTATTTCTACATTTCATAACAAGTTTGGTTAGTGAACTTTATTTTTTCCTTCTTTTGGTTCCTCAATAATTGCAATAATAAATTTTAAGACTTGAATATTTTTAAAAAAAATTAAGATACATCATATATTTGTACAAATTGGATGAATTGTTATTTGCTATTTTTGTGCAGCTTGGACATCTCTTAATTTGATTAGAGAGTTACTTGGGTGGGCATTTCTGCATTATTCACCTGACTTTATTATAATATTTGAGGTAAGTAACATATATCATAACAACATATTTAGTCACTTTTTTTTTATCTTTTATTTTTCTTATTATTTGATGCCATGAATATGATAAGGGAATAACTCATCTCAATCACCAAATGAATTGTTGCCTTGATGAAGGAGTAGAGAATAATTTATTTTTATCCTTTTAACTTCATGTTTTTTATCCAAGGACTCTTAGTTTCATTATGATCTCTCTACTTTCTCCATTGGGTTTGGGTGTCGTTATTAATTTTGTATCTATTGTGGGTCTTTAGTTAGATATTTATATCAAGTGAACAAAAAAGCAGCGGTAATATTTAATTATTAACGGATAGATTTTTAAGTGTATTTCCAGAAGAAAACCAAATCATCATCCTTCTACGAATCATCGATTCATAGTAAAAGTTGTAAATATATATAATATATTCTTGTACGCCCTCATAATTAATTAGTTTCAGTTATCGTCTTTCTGCATTGTTAATTTTCATGTCATTATTTAGATTTTATATTAATTGGCAGCAAAAGTATGTGACAGCAAAATGAACTCTTTTTACTGGATTTTATATTTATAATATGAGAGACGCATTGCATAATGCATTTTCCCTCTCATTTCGTATATTAATATATTCTTGTACGCCCTCATAATGCATTTATAATATATACAACAAAGCTAAAGCAGGGTGCATCAAAACCGACTTCAGTGATTATTAAGGAATGAACATATAGCTTACTTGAACTTCAGTGTTGGTGTCCCCATAATTAAAGAGCTCAAGTAAAACAAATCCTTATCATCTATTCTCTTAAAAGAGTTCAGACTTCCTTCTTATCTTCATTCACATTCTTCTATCATTTGTTATCCTCTTATCATCAAGGTGATCTTTCAATCTTACACGTAAATATTGTCTTGGAGATTCTTTATTATGATGATTCTTAAATTAATTTTTACCAGGAAAAGTTGAATATTAGAAAATGAAACATCATAAAGAATCTGCTAGATGTTCTAGCTTTGTGGCAGTAAATTTATATTAGTTAGATTTGTATTATTCAGATGTTAGTTCAATTGGTGACTTCTACTTTGTTTAATTTTTATATTATTAAAGAGGTTAGACTAAGTTGTTTGATTCTTTTTTTTTTCTCACCTGATCTCATTCATTCTTTCTTATATTTACTTTCAATCTTGCATAATACGTACGTACTAGCAGCAGTTTCAATCATTTTCTTCAACCGGCCTCTACTGTTCAAGCTTCTCATCAAATATTTTCAAGTTCACCTATCCGTCAAACAGGTAAACATTCACTTGAAGATTCTTTACTCTATTGTTTTTTGAAATAGAAAAAATTAATTTGACAGTCCTTGTAGTTTCGTTAAATTTTGAATAAGGTCCTTCTAGTTATTATTATTATATTTTTAATCGAATCCTTATTGTTTACTCCTTTGTCAATAATGCCCAATCCTTCCGTTTAAAAAGCCGTTGGTTTAAGTTGACGCTATCTTCCTCAGTCAGCCGCGACACTTCCTCAGCTCCTCCCCCCCCCCCCCCCCCCAAAAAAAAACCATCATTGTCTTTATCTCCCTGTGTTTATTCAAGTTTCACTGTTGTCCTTTGATTCATTGTTGTTCTTAAGCACGCTGCCTGTTCTCTGAACTTAAGAATCTGTCCTGACTCATTCAAGTTTTGTGTTTCTTAACCTTCCTTCATTCCTGACTTGTTGGAGAATTATGTCTGATCTATATATATATATATATATATATATAAAGAAAATCTCTTAAAAGACACTTAAATAACACAAATTTTTATTTGAGTTATTAAATTTGTTGAATTCCTAATTAGGTCATATGATTCAAAAATAAATTATAAAATTTTATAAAAAGACTCTAATATCCTTTTCTTTAGAAACCTAGAGAATTGAAGATTTTCTATCATTTCTGCATGGCACAACGGTTCTTAACAAGAAAAACTTGATGTCTATCATTGTAAACTCACAAAATCGATCAGGGAGGCAACAGTGAGCTAAGTTTTATATTAAATCTCCCTTCTTTAATCCTACAAGTATGTTATAGAGATAAAAGGTTATTAATTTAAACTTGAAACGTGTTAATTGAGCAATTAAACATTTTAATTTTCAAAGTTGTATTATGAAAAAATTTTATTCAAAGAATTGTTATAATTTTATTATGAAAAAAGAAAATTGTTAATTTAAAATTAAAATAGGTTAACAATAAAATGAAACATATTAATTTTTAAAGTTGTATTGTCATCAACTTTTATTTAAAAATTTATTGCAAGTGTGTTTTGAAGACAAAGCTGTTAATTTAGAATTAAAGCTTGTTAATTGTATTATTAAACTTATTAATTTTGAAAATTGTATTGTGATCAAGTTTCATTCAAAATCTTATTTGTGAGTTGTCGAGACAGAAAACTGTTAATGTAGAATTAAAACGTATTAATTGTGAAATAAATATTTTAATTTAGTATCTCTTTTAATTTCTAATGAAAGGGTATTATAGTTATTTCATAAAATTTTAAAAGTTCTCATTTAGTCATGTAACCTGATTTTGAATTTGACAAATTTAATGATCCAAATAAGAATTTAGATTATTTAAATTTTTTTTAAGATTTTGTTTTCCAAATAGGTTTTCTTTTTCTTTCTCTTTTTCTTTTGCATGGAATAGTAGAAATACATGTTTTGCAAGATTATTGCAGTTCATATAGCTCGTGTTAGATTAAGATATTTATTAGTTTTTAATATGCCTCGCGTTTATATTCCTTGATCATTATTTAAAGGATAAAAAGGCACCCAGCACCCCAATCTTTTTTTGTTAGTGCAATTTTACTCACCATCTCTTCTTTCTGGGTGCAATTTTATCCATTTACAACGGTAATCTAACGCCTGTTAACACAAATGTGTTTTTTTTTTTAGAAGTTCAGTTCTTAAATATGTATTTGAAAAGACTAGTTCTAGAATATATATTCGAGAGGACCAGTAAAATTACACACATTGGTATTTATATACCATTCTTGAAAAATAAAACACACATTAGAAAAATCACGTAAAACTTCTATGCTTGGGTATGTATTCGAGTAATGGGAATATAAAAACCTTAAAATAAGTTTATTTGATGAGTAATGAGAACCCAAAATCCTGATCAGGAAGTTTCTCGAATACATATTTGAGAACTAGATTTTTTTTAAAAAAAAACATATTTATGTTAACAAACGTTAGAGAACCATTACAAATAGGTAAAATTACACTAAAAAAAAAGATAATGAGTAAAATTATATTGAAAAATAGGTTGGGGTGTTGGGTGCCCTCTACCCTTATTTAAACTCCAAATTTGAATTACTAAAGAAATAAAAGTAATTTTTTCTTTGAAAATTTTCACAAAAGAGTATTGGTTATTAGGATTTGTTTTTTTTGGTGTCAACCTTAAAGTTGTAAAATCGTAGCAACTAAAAAAAGTACTTGTCAGGGACATTTTTTTATAAAACCACACAAACTCTTTCATATATTTACTTTATATATTATAAAAATACTTTGAAATCATGATTTTATTTCTACCAACTACTCTCTAAATCCCAAAATCCACCGTCATTCACTATCATCTACTCCTTCGCCGACGAGCACCCCTTCACCGGTGAGCATCCCTCATTCCCAAGAAAACGAAAAAATCTCTCTCCTTCCACCGTTGTTATAAATTTCATTAAAATCAGCAAAAACATAAACAAAGATGATGATATCCAAATTTTTCTCCAGAAACCAAAAAAAAAAAGCAACAGTAATATGAAATCCCGACAAAATCCAAATAGCAAACATGAACAAAAACCCAGAAATTTTTGACCACTCAAAACTTTCAAGCAAGGAATCAAGATTTTCTCCCTTGGAACAGGAAGAAGAAGAAGAAGATAGCTCAACTCAAGCAACAGCTAGAGGAACAGAACCATAACTCAGCAGCAAATCTAGTCCTCCAAGCTCCAGTAACCTTGGCCAAAGTTAACTTCTGCTCCTCCAATTTCGCTGCCGATTAAGCTTGAGTCAACCTTCACTCCTCCGATTGGCCAGAGTCACCACTCGACTCGTTTCCCTCTCTTTCTTCACCTCCCTCTACTTTCTCCAGCATGCGTTCACCTTCACTTGAACAAAATTTATGAACAGCACGCGTTCATCTTCAGCCTCGGATATCGCGGACGGCATCCACCATTTCCCATAAGATCCGTCGTCCACGCTAATGGAGGATGTAAACAGTAGGGCGAAGAAGAGGAAATGGAAGATCTCTCTACCATTCTCGGCATCTCCCCTCACCTTCTTCGACTTTGAATTCCGATGGTGGAGGGGGTCTCAGGCTCATAGAGATCTGGCGATGGGGAGGGAGAAAATGCTCATGACTTTGGATCCCATTGTTAGAGGGGCTCCGATGGTGACTGAGAGTGGTGGCAGTGAACCCTGTGGAGGCGGATCGCCAGAGTTAATGACGATGGATTTTGGGATTTGACGGTGTGCCTATTTTCGAAAATATATACTAATGAAAAAAGTCAGACTAATTTTGAGTTATCATTTTCATTGAAATCCGACTTATATATCTAAACTTTCAGAATATAATAAGAATTTTTGGCCAAAAAAAATAGAAGAAAAATAATATTTTCAAACAAAAAAATAGTAGTGCATTAGACCCTGAATTTGTTAGTTGCCTTTAATATTATACTGAAATTATGTTATTGAACATGCTTTTCAATCTAAACAAATAATTTTAACTTAACGTATTCAAATATTGACTTTTTTTTTATTTCGGTTTTAAATTAAATCTGTATTTATGAAACAACTGATTGTTATGAGATTAGTCTTGTTTTACATAATGATTATATCAAAACATAACTTCCAAATATTAAACATCAAATCTATTAGACGCTTTTGTTATGTTATGCTAAATTTATATTAACTGAATATTTATACTTGAATGAGTTTATTATTTCTGAATTTCATAACAAGTTTGGTTGGTGAACTTTATTTTTTTCCTTCTTTTGGTTCCTCAATAATTGCAATAATGAATTTTAAGACTTGAATATTTTTTAAAAAAATTAAGATACATCATATATTTGTACTAATTGGATGAATTGTTATTTGCTATTTTTGTGCAGCTTGGACATCTCTTAATTTGATTAGAGAGTTACTTGGGTGGACATTTCTGCATTATTCATCTGACTTTATTATAATATTTGAGGTAAGTAACAGATATCATAACAACATATTTAGTCACTTATTTTTTTATCTTTTATTTTTCTTATTATTTGATGCCATGAATATGATAAGGGAATAACACATCTCAATCACCAAATGAATTGTTGCCTTGATGGAGTAGAGAATAATTTATTTTTATCTTTTTAACTTCATTTTTTTATCCAAAGACTCTTAGTTTCATTATGATATCTCTACTTTCTCCATTGGGTTTGGGTGTCGTTATTAATTTTGTATCTATTGTGGGTCTTTAGTTAGATATTTATATCAAGTGAACAAAAAAAGCAGCGGTAATATTTAATTATTAGCAGATAGATTTTTAAGTGTATTTTCAGAAAAAAAACCAAATCATCATCCTTCTACGAATCATCCATTCATAGTAAAAGTTGTAAATATATATACTATATTCTTGTACTCCCTCGTAATTAATTAGTTTCAGTTATCGTCTTTCTGCATTGTTAATTTTCATGTCATTATTTAGATTTTATATTAATTGGCAGCAAAAGTATGTGACAGCAGAATGAGTTCTTTTTTACTGGATTTTATGTTTATAACACGAGAGACGCATTGCATAATGCATTTTCCCTCTCATTTCGTATAATATTGAGAGTTTCTCTTTGTGCTCCGTGAATATCAACTATTACAAAAAATTGTTTAATTAGGAAAATGTTAAAAAATACATTTAAAATGAGGCACTAATGAATATTTTCTTGTTTAAATGTAATGAGGTATTTTAACTTGCATACGTTAGCGACCTAGGAATGAGGAAATGTACGTGGGCAGAGTTCAAGTTGAAGCGTGTGTACGCGCGTGTGTGTAGAAATTTATTGAAAACAGTTTTTTGTTTAAAACCAGAAATAATAAGATTTCCTCTGGTTTTTTCCCCAAGTATAATCTTGTGAGCTTTGAAGAACCGAGTTACATTACATATAATGATAGAAATTCAAGTGAAGACTAATTTATTTTCTTTTTTATTTTGATTTTTTATTTATTTAAAAGCCTCATATTTTACACTTTTGTTTATTTTTTCTGTTTTCTTTTTTTCCTCTTTTTTTTCTAGATGTAATTCTAATAATCATACTTCTACTTTGCTTCTCATTAATTATTGTTCTGCCTCCAAAAAAAATATAGATGTAAATAATACAATATAACTTCTTTAATTTACATGACGATATTAGTTTACGAAAAGGAATTTACAAATTGGTACCTGTTATGTTGATTCAGATCTCAGGAGATGCTCTTGGTGACCATAAGAAGGGATAACGTAAGTCATCGTCTTTGGAGAACCTCTGTTATGTTGATTCTTTAATTAACTTTTACCAGGAAAAAATTATGCACATTTGAAAATTAAACATCAAAATCAATCTGTTAGATGATCTCACCATGTGACTGTAAATTCGTATTAATTGGATTTTGTGTGTGTTCACTCTGTGACAGTATAATCATGCAGAATGCTGTTTCTTAACTTTCATATTTTGACAAGATCGAAGAATTATGTCTAATCATTTGGATCTTATAGATTAATCATATCAAAACATAACTACAAAAATAAAATAAATACCATTTTCTGATCATCTTCCTTTTTGTTCACTGGCTCCTGAAATATTTTCAAACAAATTATATTTTTTATTGGCTTTGAAATTAATTTCATCAAATATTATAATATTAAAATATTTAACATTAAATCTGTTAGACGCTTTTATCATATTATAATGAATTTATATTAACTGAATATTTATTCTTGAAAGAATTTATTTTTTCTGCATTTCATAAAAAGTTTGGTTAGTGAACTTTATTTCTTTCCTCCTTTTGGTTCCTCAATAATTGCAATAATGTCAGGCCAAAAAAAATAATTGCAATAATGAATTAAGACTTGAATTTTTTTTTAAAAATTAATATATCATATATTTGTACCGATTGGATGAACTGTTATTATTTGCTACTTTTGTGCATAATTTGAATTAAGAGTTACTTAGAGGGCATTTCTGCGTTATTCGCCTAATTTTATTGTAATATTTGAGGTAAGTAACAAATATTATAATAGCCCATTGAGTCACTTGTTTTATTTATATTTTATTTTTCTTCTTAGTCCAAGAGAATAACATCTCAATCACTAAATGAATTGATATCCTGTTAAAGGCAAAAAATAAAAAACCACTAAACCACTTGAAATAGTGGGTAAAGAGTTAGTGGGTTGGATTAGAATCCAACCAGAGTCAGACTAATTATATTAAAATAATAAAATTTAATTAATAATAACAAAATATAATAACATTTATAAATAATAATCACTCAACAAAATATAAGAAACTATAAAAAATAGTTTCAATGTTTAATTTTTTTCCAACAGCTTAAATGTTTAATTTTACCAATCAAAATTATTAAAATACATATCTATTTTAAATGTTTGATTTTTCTACGTTATTTTTAGATGCTTGAGGTAAAAATCTGATACACTTTCATTAATGTATATATCTTTTTTTTTTTTTTTTACTTTTCTCTCTCTTTCTTGTTCTTTGTTCTCTCTCACGTGACTACTCCCCATTCTGCTCTCCATGACACATGAGCAGCTTTCCTCTTTCTTCCTTAAACAACGAACAGTCAATAAGTACAGTAAAATAGCAAACTTCCAAGAGCACACTTCACAATTCTTCATTTCTCTTTCTCAGCTAAATTGCTTTTACCTTCCTCGTTTCTCTTTCATTTGTCCATACTGCTTCTTTTTTTCTTTTTTGGTCCAACGTTTGTCCATACTTCATCCACCCCATTATCTCTACCATCTTCCTTCTTGCATTCTAATCTTGTAGTTTTCTCTCTCTCTCTCTCTCTCTCTCTCATAGTTTCTCTTTCATTTGTCTATACTTCATTCATCCCATTTTCTCTATTATCTTCCTTCTTGCCTTCTAATCTTCTAGTTTCTACTCCCTCTCTCTCTCAATTTTTCTCGTACAATTTCAACAACAAAGAAGTCCCCATGGTGAAGCCGTGAATGTTGAATCATCTTTTTATCTTTCTTCTATGCTTTTTTAGTTTCCACACTAAAATACTTCTTCGATTATTTTTTAGCATATTCAGAAGTTCTTTCATAGCAAGGATTGTTTAGCATTTCTCTCTCTGTTTTTTCTCTTCCTCTCCTTTCTTTCTCGGTAAACTTTCTTCTCTTTTCCCAAAGTTTATGTATTTTTAGGAGGCAAAAAGTTTAAATTAGATAACCTATCCCAACTGGAGGTTACCTGCTTAAACCGATTTGTGACTGGTTCATTTCATCTCTTGTCCAACAAGTAAACCTAACCCAACTGGAGACCGGTTCATCAGTTTTCCCATTGAATTGACCGATCTGAGTTAGTTTGTGATCAATTCATTTCATCTCTTGTCCAACAAGAAAACCTGACCGCTTAGAGACCCGTTTATCAGTTTTCTGTTGAACTAGCCGGTTCGGACGGGTTTTTTCTTCTTAACCTTTATAAAAGAACAAAATAAAGAATAATTTATTTATAATTCAACTTTATTTTTTATCCAAAGACTCTTAATTTCATTATCATTTTTCTACTTTCTCTATTGGGTTTGGGTGTCGTTATTAATTTGATATGTATTGTGGGTCTTTATTTAGATATTCATATCAAGAACCAAAAAATAAAAAAAGAAACGGCGTTTCGAATATTTAATTATTAGCGGATAGATTTTTTAGTGTATTTTCAGAAGAAAACCAAATCATTATCCTTCTACGAATCATCGATTCATATTAAAAGTTGAAAATACAAAATAATAAACAATCAACACTCCAAACCTAGGACCCACATCTTTTGCAAATTAATAATAATAATAATAATTATTGTTATAAATGAGCTAATTTTGCTTTTCTGTGTTTTCTTTTATTGATCAAAATATAATGAGAGATTGTTTTAGAATATTTACATTTAATTTTTTCTCTCAATTTCTCTTTTCATTCAAAGAAGCATATAAACAAAAAAAAAGTTTGGTGGTAGATCATAACTAAAAAGCATTAACAGATGTTGCTTTCTACTTCTGAAAAAATATGAATTGAAAATTTTTTTCCCTTCTAATAAAATTTATATCATTAATTGGAGGGAGTAAATATTAAATGAGGTAATACAACGTAATTAATATTTTTATAAGTAACTATCTTTAACAACTTTTTTTTAATAAACATGAATTATTTTTTTAAAATAAGAAAGCAGGAATAGTAATCTTCTTAAGTTAATTCTTAAAACAATTTGCTTTTAAAACCAGAAGTACTCAAGATTCTAAAATAATTTTAATGCGATTTTTACTCACTTAACACCGTAAAACTTCATAACCAAGATTATACCAAAATATAGTTTCAGATACTCATTATTACCAAAAAATATTTTAAGGAAAAAAATATTTTTTGGCCAGCTTAAGAAAAAAATTCTATAAAAATTAATTTAGGATGCTAAATGCTGTTGAGAAAATATTGTGTTAAGAGAATTCACCAGAAACAATGTCAAGTAATTTTTCATCATAAGTACAGTATTCTCTTATATTTATTTTGGTAAGCATGTTCGGTTAATTAAAGACAGACCTTATCAGCTGAAACAGCCATAGTTAAAGGTGAACGTGAGAGATTTAATTATTATTAGGTTTATTCCTTCAGTAAGATGCCTCAAACCGAGTAGGTTTCTCGGGTAGTAGACTTTTCAACCATTGCTCCATTCCAAATTGTAATCATACTTGCTGATGGAGTACTCCATTTGCTAGAGAGCAACAAGCTTATGGTGTACGTCGGCTAGCTAGGATCAATCAGCTGCTTTTGTAGTGTTGCAAGCCTTTTTAATTGAATCAATCCATCTTTTTCTTTAAGCACAAATATGTTCAAGCATCCGTAATTACACCATCTTTTTCCTTTTTGACTCCAATCAAAGTAGTGACTTATTTTGAAAGTTGACAGGTGCTTTTCTTTTTCATTTTGATTTTAGAAACCAGACCTTCTTCATTCGTTTTGTTTCCCAGATACAAATATGTGTGTGTTTACATTTGTATGCGTTAACCATGAATTACATAGTTGTCCAATGTCTTTTGCATAGAAGTTCCCTTTAGACAACCATAGTACTATGTAGGGAATAACTTGATTGTTTGTGGCATGTATCACATCTTTCTTCTCTCTTTGATATATTAAGACCGAAATCACAATTACTTTGGGGCCCAAAGAAACAAGGGAATACTTTGATTTTTTTCCCTCTTTAAGAAAATGACAGCATAAAAGAAACCTCAATGAAAGGAAAGAACAATGGCAGAAGTCATCATTAAAGACTGAATATGTAGCTTATTTCAACTTTAGAGTTAGCATGTCCCCATAATTAAAGAGGTTAAGTAAGGAACAAATCCTTATCATCTATTCTCTTACAGAGTTCAGACTTGCTTCTTATCTCCATTCACATGCTTCTATCATTCATTGCCTGTTATCATCAAGGCCATCCTTCAATCTTGTAGGTAAATATTGTCTTGGAGATTCTTTGTTATGTTGATTCTTAAATTAATTTTTGCCAGGAAAAATTGAATATTAGAAAATGAAACATAAAAAAGAGTCTACTAGATGGTCTAGCTATGTGGTAGTAAATTTATATTAGTTGGATTTATATTATTCATTTGTTTGTGACTTCTTATGTGGTACTTCTTTAATTTTTAAATTATTAAAGAGTTTAAGTTAGGTTGTCTGATTCATTTACATTCACTTGATTTCATTTTTTCTTTCTTATATTTACGTTTAATCTTGCATGATGCGTATAGTATGTACTAGCAGCAGTTTTAGTCATTTTCTTCACCTTGCGTCTACTGTTCAAGCTTTTCATCAAACATCCTCAAGTTCATCTATCTGTCAAACAGGTAAATATTCACTTCAAGATTCTTTGCTATATTGTTTCTTGAAACAGGAAAAATTAATTTGAAAGTCCTTGTAGTTTTTTTAAATTTTGAATAATGTCCTTTTAGTTATTTTTCTTTTTATTTAACCCTTATTGTTCACTCTGTCAATAATGCCAATCATTATGTTTAAAAAGCTGTTAGTCTAAGTTGACATTGTCTTCCACAACACTTCCTCCCACAGCTTCATTTTGATCTTATAGATTAATTTTCGTTGGTAAATTTCATAATACTCCTTCGGTCCTAAATATAATATCCTTTCTTCATCTTATGTGTCTTTAGGGGTTTGTTTGACATGAGTGAAATGGAAAGAAGGGGAGAGGAGGAAAAATTTTATGTAAGTGTATAAAATATGTCCTTCGTTTTGCATGGAATATTAGAAATACATGTTCTACAAAACTATACTATATACAGCTTGTGTTAACTTAAGATATTTATTAGTTTTTAATGTGTCTTTGGTCATTATTTAAATTCCAAATTTAAATTATTAAATGATGAATAATTATATTATCAAGTTTTACACACCTCTTTAAGTCAGGGAATATTTAATATATTATGTTAAGCGCTTGTGACTTGAAAATTTAAGTTCTTGAGTAAATTTTTTTGAATATTTTTTTCTTAAGTTAATATTTATAAATTCTTTTCTGATAATATCCAACACAGACACGCACACATATATGTTTTACATTGTAAAATGTTACCCTGACTAATGAAAATACTTAAAATAATTAGTTTTTCAATTTTTGTCAAAAACATATTGAAATGATAATTATAAAAATTGAATAAATTGTTCCCTCAGTCTCTCGATTTAATTTTAGGGTCTCTATTTTTTTGGCAAAAAAAATCTAGAATCAATATTGCGATAAATACTCACAATGTACTTATTTAAATTAAAAGAAAAAATTATAAAAAAAGACTTTGGAATTGCAAAAACACAGAGAGAGATCCTTTATAACTTTACTATAACTTTTGATAATAATATGTCATGAAATTGTCAAAACTCAAAGTGAAGTTATCAAGGGTCTCTATTTGCATTTCTGCAATTCCAAAGTCTTTTTTTATAATTTCTCCTAGATTAAATACTCCAAACTCTGTGTGCGCGTGTGTCTGTGATTTTGCGTCCGCTTTCGCTTGCTGCTCATCACATGTTGAAAATAGTACAGGTAAATTCCATTTTCAAGACAATTTTCTTTACTTCTTTTTTAACTAAAATATTACTAGAAAATTAAAATTGAAATTTCAGATTTTTTTATTACATTGAATTTGTATTAATTTAAATTTATTACTGAATTTGATGGAATGCCTATTTTCGGAATTATATACTAGTGAAAATAGTAAGATTATGTTCAAGTTATTTTTTTAATTGAAATATAACTTTTGGCCCAAAAAAAAAAAGAATGATAATACTTTCAAGCCAAACCAAAATAGTAGTGCATTAAACACTGAATTCGTTAGATGATCTCAATATCATACTGAATTTATGCTATTGAACCTGTTTTTCATCTAAATAAATTGTTTAACTTAACTCATCCAAATATTGAATGATTTTGTTTTCGGTTTTGAACAAAATATGCATTTATCAAACACCTGATAGTTATAGGATCAGCCTTGTTTTGCATATCATGATATTAAAATATAATTACAACAATAAAATAATATTTAATTTGGACTGTCTGATTCAAGTTTAGATGTGAGCATCCCATGCTAATATTTTAAAGATAAGCATGCGATCCATTTTTAATTACAAAAATGTTAATTGTTTGACATATTGTGATTTGAATCACAGTACTTATGGAAATTTGGAATTGGACTATTTTATTATTATTATTATTATAATAAAATTAGCTAATTTTCTTTTTTTCCCTCTGACTTTCTCTTTTCCTGCAAAGAAGCAAATAAATAACAAAACGAGTTTGACGGTATATCATAAAATAAAACGCATTGATAGATGTTTCTTTCTACTTCTACAAAAATATGAATTGAAACAATTTTTTTCTTCTAATGGAAGTTATATTATAAATTGGAGGGAGTAAATATTAAATGCGGTAAACAACGTAATTACTATTTTTATAAGGCGTAACTATCCTTGACAACTTTTTTTAATAAACACGAATTAATTATTTTTTTAATGAGATTGTAGGAATAGTAACCTACTACAAAATGCATAACAGGGCATTAATTATTAATTTAAAGAATAAAAAACAATCTTCTTTGTTTTTTTTGATACAAAAAAAATCTTCTTTACCGTTAAGAAAGAGTAGTACACTAATAATAGAAGGTGGATTCAAAACTCAAGAGATGCTCTTACCGACTATAAAAAGGGTTAACGTAACTCATCATCATAAATTAATTTTTAAAGCAATTTGCTTTTAAAGTCAGAAGTGCACAAAATTCTTAGGGAAAATGACAATAAAATACCTTCTGAATTTCAAAATGACAAATAAAGTATTAGGTACAAATTTGGAATTTTGATTTTTGGTCTCAAAACATGTTACAAAACTCATTGACGAAGTAGTAACTCTCACTATAAAAGTTGTAAATCCTACTATGTGTTTTTTAAAATTCAGCGTGGAATTGTATTATTTTTTACAAAAATGTTGCTTAACTTCTTAAAACAGGTTGCAAAACTCATTGACCAAATAGTAAATCTTACTATGAAAGTTGTAAGTTCGACTATGTGTTTGTAAAATTCGGCAAAATTTGCCCAGCCCTTCAAAACAGGTTGCAAAGCCCATTAACGAAATAGTAACTCTCACTATGAAAGCTGTAAATCTCACTATGTGTTTTGTAAAATTTAAAATCAAAATCCCATATTAGTACCTGATGCCTTTTTTGTCATTTTGTTTATTCAAATGCCTTATTTGTCATTTTGAAATTCAGAAGATATTTTATTGTCATTTTCTCAAATTCTTAAATAATTTTAATACCATTTTTGCTCTTAAATTATTTTCTCAGTAATACTCAACATAGTAAAACTTCATGACCAAGATTACACCGAAATATAGTTTAGGATACTTTTTGTTACTAAAAAATACTGTAAGGAAAATTTTTCTTTTGACCAGCTTAAGAAAAAAATTGTATAAAAATTAATTTAAGATGCTAAATGCGGTGAAGAAAATATTGTACTAAAAGTATTCACTGGACCCAGACTTTTTTTTCTTTCTTTTTTTTGCTACAAGAAACCCAAGACTTTTCAATCATTTGCTCTTATCACATAAGCTGAACTTTTGGTAAAGGAAGAGGCCTAAGGCCCAAAACAAAACCATC